GTAGCCCAGGCTGGCCTTGCAATCCTCCCCTTTACCACCCAACTGCTGGGATTACAGGCTCATACTACCACGCCTGACTCTTTACTTCTGAAGTATATAATTATAGCCTTTAACTATTCCATAACTAGTCATCTGGCTCTAACTTAACTTTAGACTGTAAGTACCAAGAGGGCAGGGACTGTCTCTTCAATGTTCAGCCAGTGCCATGCTCCTGAAAGAGCACTCATACACAATTCATGGGTTATAGGTAATATCACACAAGTGAAGCAATTTGTGCCTTGTTTTGCTGGTTCTCAACTTTTGACTCAAGTCCTCTTTGCTCATCAAGGGAGACAGGAGCCCCTTCATGGCAGTAACTGGTTCTCTTTCCTCACTGTGTTATTACACTTCTTCCTCCAAATTCACCTCAGGGCTAGGCACAGAGAACAGGCTGGACAGATGGGCAACTGAGAGACAGGTAATGCTCTCCATGACCAGGTACCTACGTGCCTCAGACCATGATCCAGAGACATCAAACACATATAATTTTCCCTCCACAGCCCTCGGGCTCTTCCTTGCCCTGCTGCTACCACTCATGCTGTCCTCTCTGCCTGTAACCCTCCCTCTCTATCTGCTGGGCCCTACTGATGTTTTAAGGCTAACCAGGTGCCATTTTCCTTAGGAGGCTTTTCCTGATCTCCTAGGCTGGTCAGGGGCATATCCTTGGCTCCTGAAGCTCCTGGACTCTCCTGTCTTTAGCACAGATCACACTGTTGCCACAGGCTGCCGAGACTCTGTCACCAAAGGCAGGAATCATGCCTGTTCAGGTGTCCCCTGTGCACAGCACAGGACCCAGCATATGGCAGGTACTCAGTAAATGTTTGTCAAATGAATAAATGAACTGTGGAGAGAAAGAGCAGTCAGTAAAGTTTCAAGACTGATAGCCCCAGCCTTCCTTCATTAGAGCCAGTTTGGGCTGATGAACAACTAGGTGGGCACTTAGCAGAGCCCAGCTCCCTGGCGGGAGAAGTGGAACGGGCAGGGTGTTCCCTTTCAGCGATTTGCTAAAGGGAATGTGATTGCCACTGGCGAACAGGAGGCCTCATTTTCCCACCTGATGGTCCTTGCATGGCTTTGCCTGAGCCTAGACAGATGTGCTTCAGTCTGCACCCTGCCCTTCGTTTTGGGTGAGTGGCTCAAGCCCAGAGGCCAGGCTCAAGTTTGGGCTGAGTTCAGAGACAGGGCCACCTGCTCATGCCGCTAACAGGTAGGATAGGGGTGGGCCTCCCACTTCTGAAGAGCCAGGACTGGATAAGTTCCAAGGTTTAAGTGCCTCAGGGAGGAGGGAGGAAATGATTGCCACACAAGGAGAGGGAGGAGAAACACAGCCCCAGTTTGCCTCTGTGCAGCCAGGTGGAGCGAGCTGAGAAACAAGGCTCTGGAACACCGAAGTCAGTGATGCAAAGGAGTTCCATGTGCAGGGGAATAAAAAGAGAGTGGGCACCAGGCCTCATCCCTGCCTTCAGGGAGGCACACAATCCAGTGAATCAAGGTGAAGTTAATATTAAACAATAATGCATTATTGCTAGGCAGGCCTCAGCAATCTTTGTTCTACGGAAGGACAATGACCACACAGCTATATGCCACAAGGGGAGCCAAGGGCCAGTCTTCCAGGGATGCTGCCCTTGCAGAAGGCCAGGCAGCTCACCCCACACACTATTAGCCAGATATACATAAAGCAAGTAAGCAGTGTCCACCATCAGGCCACTATCCAGAGCTGCTGGCTTGATGCTCTCATACTGTGTGGATTCACCATTTGTCCCTGACTGGGTTGGCATGTCAACCTCATTGGCATTCCTGCGTGGAAGGACCAGGACACCTTAGTCCTGACATTCAGCCTTGCTTCACCAACCTGACCTCCAACTTCTCTTCTGGAAGGTTCCACTCCTGCTACAGACTGACATGGCCCTTCCTAGGCCACCCTCACACCTTCCCACACCAGAAGTGGGGAATGGAGTAGGAGGAGCAAAGGAAGAGATCATGCCCACCTGGGAGGAATCCAGGGAGGCTTTACAGGGAGACAGCACTTTGGCTGAGCTTTGAAGGCTATCAGGACTTAAGCAAAAGGTGCTGAGCACAGAGTACAGAGTGGGAGGAGGATATGTCTCCAGCCAGGGCCTAGGGACTGCAAACTCCAAGGTGTCCTCAAAGAGGAGGATGGAGCACCTTGCCCCAAGTAGAAGAGCCCCAGGCACTTGCCCTTCCCTGTCCTGACCCCTCCCAAGGTTCTGGGCTGGGGACAGGAGTTGCAGAAGGTCAAGGCAGAGACACAACCAGCACAGAGCCCCAAGAAGACAAGGATGGGTGTGACTTGTCCAAATACTTTATGACTGACCATACTGACGATATACATGGCAAACCAACCGTGTGAAAACTGCAAACATTGAGAATGGGATTGTACCGGCAGCTGCTCTGGGCAGGGGTAAGGGCCAGGACATGCAGAGGAAGAAATCAAGAGCAGCATGAAGAACCTGTGCAGAGCCACGGCATAAAACCGCTAAATGAAGTTCAAGAGCACTTCCTTCTAGTGGGGAAGCCAGGCCCTCTGCCCTTCCCCGGGCCTGGCTCTGTGAGCAGGAAGAACTGTGACTGCTGGGCCATATGTCTGTTTCTTTGAGACCAGAGCCCAGTACACATACACACACCATCTGCAGTCCCACTCATTTCATAAGCAAGAACTGCTTTGGCTGAGAAGGGAAGGATGTCCTGACTCAGGCCTTCCTTACCGTCAATCAGTCTTACTCTCAGCAGGTCTACCTTCGGCATTTCCCCATTCAATCCATCCTTCACTCCTCTGAAACAAAGACCTAACAGAGTCACTCTTCTGCTTCAAAACCTCCCATGTCTCTGCACTGCTTACAGAAGGATCCAAAACTCCTCTCTCCCTGGGCAGAGGAGGCCTGGCACATTCCAGTCTTTCTCAAGTTACCTTCCCTTTTTCCCCACACCTGGCATGTGGGGGCAGCACTGACAAATTCCCCAGGCCCAGCAGCCAGCCTGCATCATTGCCTCCTGCCTTTGCTCAGCTTGTCCCCTGCTCTGTGATTCTGTGGGGCTGAGGGCAGGGTCTATGCCTCGCTCCACTCTGACTTTCCTTACATGGCATGGAGGGCCACTCTGAAGGAATCATCCTGACCAAGGGAATGGGGACAAGAGGAGGCAGGAGAAAAGCAGGTTAGAATCTGGGGATGCATGAAAAGTTCCCATAGACATTATCTACACCAGCAAAAGGGAAATGGTCAGAATAATTCTGAATCACACATACACCATAAGTTCAATCATTTTCTGTATTCTGGTGTGTAGGTGTTTAACTGCCATTAGAAAAACATATTTGCTGGGCATGGTGATATATTCCTGTAATTCCAGCACCTGAGAGGCTGAGACAGGAGGATCTTGAATTCAAGGCCAGCCTGTGCTAAATTGCAAGTTTGAAGCCAAACACAGGGAAAGACTGTATCAAAAAACCAAAAGTCCCTATGTATATGGAAAAGCTAAAATAAACAGCACCTGAACAGGCTCAGTGGAATAGGGTGACATCAACCTCCCCAGAAGATGGCAAGGCAATTCACAGTGCTGCTCTCTGCAAGCATGCTGCCCTACAGACAGGTGATTCTGGGATCAGCAAAGACCACCTTCCACCCTCACTCCCCTGTGATGCAGGAGAGCAAAGCGAGGCTCATCTGTTTCTGGGAGATGAAGATGCCACACACAGCCCACAGTTATGAATGGCTCTTATAACAACAAGATGACATCCGTGCTTGGTTTTTAAGATGCATCATCACATGTTTATTAAAGTATTGCTCCATCATATTTATTTGGCTACAAAACAACTCCCAGCCCATACTTCCAAAAGTGGTTTATTAAAAACTAAGCCTCAAACATTAATACTCAAAAGCACCCTTGAGAATCAATAATGCTGCAGATAAAATGAAAGGGAATCAAAGCAGTAAGTCTTGGTGGAGCTGTGGCTGCCTTTCAACACTTTTTGTATGTACAGGGAGTTAGAGTGGGAAGGGCACCAAGGGTCTGTGGCACAGGGCAGGGAAAGCCACTCCAAACATCTGACTTCCTGTCTAAAATGTGGAATGATGCCAGGCACGGTGGTGCACTCAAGAGGCTGGAAGATGGTGAGTCTGAGGCCAATCTGGGCTACCTAGTTAAACCCCACCTCAAAAAAATCAAGGCTGAAATGTAGATCAGTGGTAGAGCATTTGCATAACATGCAAGGCACTGGGCTCGATCCTTAGAACTCAAAAAAAAAAAAGGTGGACATGAGTGCTGTGAGGACAGGGGAGGGCTGTTTTATGGCCACACAGATCTATTTGAAGGGCCCAAAGAGAACAAAGTGAGGACCAGAGGGAGTCAGTAGTTTCCTCTAACCAACAGTCCCTAACTGATGCGCTGTGCTGGCCTGTCTCAGCATCCATCCTGGACAACCTCTGCCCTGTCCCTGGCACTAGGCTGAGCCAGTGAGGCTGGAAAACTGCAGTCCACCCCTGCCAAGGCCCAGCATGGGTGCCCCAGCCCTGCAGGCAGGACTTTCCAGCTCCAGAAGACCTTCTGGCACAAAAGTCTCTTCTAGCTCCCTCCTAAATTCCCAAGCATCTCCAGGGGTGCCTACCTGTACCCCATCGAGGTAGCATGCATAACGCAAGGCCTCTCCCATGGAAAACAAGAATGAACTGGAAGATCAGGAGAATCCACAGGATGTGGAGGGGACTCCAAACCATTCCAGCTGATGATTCAGGGATGCCTGGGGGCTGCCTCCCTACCTACACTATGTCAAGACTGACCTGGGTCAAGGGGACCCGGTGATTCTGACTACAGGGAAAGCAGGAAAGCACGGAGAATAGTTCCACAATAGGGTGAGGATTTCCTCCAAGAACAGTCACCCCACAGGAAGGAGCTCACCCTGTTCAGCCCCTAAATGGGAGGGAGCAAGGCCTGGGGTTGGTACTCACCTGCTGACTTCTTGCGCATTGTTGGCACGGGCAGCTTCCATCAGGGCTGCATCTGAAGAGAGATGGGGCACTGGTCAGACCCCTGGCCAGAACCACTCAAGGCTGCTTGAAAGGCCCAGCAAGACAATGGAAGTGGAAGCATTTCAGAAACACAGGCTTTAACAAGTGAGCCAACACCATGAGAAGGCTAACCATTCCTTTCCTGTGTGGTATCCACATCCACCCCTTCCTCTAATCAGTCCAAACTCTCCACTGCTCTCACGACAAGGGTTGCAATCATGCACGCACCACATCACACCTGTGGTAAACACTCAGCAATAAAGCTCCCCCCCCCATAAGCTCTAAAGCTCTGCCTAGTTTATATCACGATCGGTGTTATTAATCATTCCCCAACACTGTCTACTTTCTCCCTCAACTCTAGTTCTTTAGCCCAGTGCTGAATCGTGATGTTACAGGTCACAAACCAAAGAGATGGGGAGGGGCCAGTAGACGTGTGGGCCTCTCTAAAAATGGGGAGAGCCTCAGTCATGGAGACCTGGTCCAATCTACTCGCCAGGCAGCTGTGGCAGCCCTTCTCTCTCAACCATGGCTGATCCCTACACCGTAAATCAGACAATAACCCTTGCCCTGCCGGCCTCACAAGGATGCCGAGGAGATGAAATGATGGTTGAAAAGTCTGCAAATTCCCCAATGCCAAGCCAACAGAGAGACCCAAAGCTCAGGGGTCAGATCCCTTAGGAATCACCAGGCCCAGCAGAAAAGCAACGCTAAACCTGGCCTGGTTATTGGCGCCACCTTGTGGCCATGAGGAAAACTGCCAGACCAATACCAATGGCCATGGCACCCTCTGTGCCCAGCCTGGTTCTGAGCTACATTTTTGGGCACTGGAATGACTCCTACCTGGTCCTGCCCCAGTAACTCTAAGTTCAGTTATAAGGCTCACCCAGGGAAACTAGGGAGAAAGCAATGCAGCCAGAGGCAGATGGATCCTGGCTCCAACCCGAACTCTAGTCCTTACTGCCTAGCCAACTCACCTAAGCTCCAGAGCCCTTGTTCCTTACCTGCAGACCCCTCTTATACAAATGAGCCAGTTCTTTTCAGACACTGGTGCCTCCAGCCATGTCTTTCTTGCTCACCTGACCCAATTATTCTCTCAGCACACATGGACACAGCCTCCAGATGGCAGGGAACAACCTTCCTCAGAAATGGCTCTATCCATTCTGCCTGCACTCAGCAGAAAAAGCTGGCTTCTGAAAGGTCACACAGTGAGTGAGGAAAGAGCTGACTTTAAAACCAGCTCTTCCTGGCTCCTGAAGGGGCCGGTTTCTACTGCATTGCACTGACAGATTTGGTTCAAAACCCTAGGTCAGGGGAATCTGAACTGGTCATGGTTTTGGGTGTTGCCTATTTTGGAAAACAGACCCTGGATTCCTTGCTGAAATTCACAGACCACAGAATCCAGCCTGGAGCCTATAGGAACCTCTTAGGCAAGTTTTGGACACCTTTCTCCAGTTCATCCAAACACACTGGTCTCTGGCCATCATTCCCTGCCCAAGAACCTTCCATGGTTCTCCACTGCATGCAAAAGAAGCTCCAAGCCATCCTGCCTGGCGTGCAGGCCCCACTTCAGTGCTCCCACTTCTTTCCAAAGACCTCATCTTCCACCCAGCCTGGCCAAAGCCCTTGTATGGAATGCAATCCAACCCAGGGCACATGTCAAATACCTACTGAGTTCCAGACACTGGCGAACAAATGATATGTACCTATTAGGGAAACTTTCTGCTTATCCCCTGCAAAAGAAGGTAAGATGCATGCCTGTTCTCACAGGGCTCTCAATGTCGAACTCAAGTTCGAATTCCCCATCCTCCAATCCTCCAGGCTTTCCTGACCCTGCTGGCCCTCTAACCTTCCAACACCACACTCAGCACTGCTCACTACCCCTGCACACCTAACTGCCTGCACTGGCCCCTTGACTGACTGTGTCAAGTTAGGACTTCCCCCATACCTAGCCACAAACTAAGTACACCAAGGGCACCCAAAAAATGTTGAAAATTATAAATGAAGGCATAACTAAGCTAGAAGAGCCCTTAGATTCTACTTCAATGCACTCATTTTGTAGAAAGGACAATGAGAACCAATGAGAAGGAACAAGAACCTGCATTCACAATGAGAAAACGAGACTCCCCTCTGTCCTCACTACCCACCAGAGCCCTTCCTTTACAGCAGGTCACATCCTGCTGAATAAACAACTGAAAGTCAAGGCCGTCCCCAATCTTGTTCAAGTCTCAGAGTTTGAAACCACAGACACCATGCCTCAGCACGTTCCTGAAAGACAACTAACGCCTGAATGCCTGGGTTCCTGCGGGCCACAGGTCTGGCTGGCTGCCCACTCTCCCAGTTGCTGCTCAGTGCCACGCACCCAGCTGAAATGCTACCTCCACCTCCCATCCTGTTACTCTGAGTCTCCAGGGATCCAATTCACTTCTGCCAACTGCTCCACAAGGCAAGACCACAGTAATCCTGAGACCACGCACAATAAAACCCTAAGAGACACAGGGATCAAAATAATAGTCTTGTAAGAGTACTGAGAAATCATCCTTCACTATCTATGTAAGTGGGGAAACTGAGGCTAGAAAGGAGCAAGAGGTCAAGTTGACAGTGAAACCAAGTCTCTTTCTTTCTCAGGACATTATAAGCAGGAAACTTCTCTACACTATCTAGTGGTTGTCCTTAAAACCACCAGTAGTGTCATGGAGACCTCTTGAAAGACTACTGGACCAGGCATAAAGGACCAGACTGTCATTGGATGTTCAGTCCAATGTCCCCATTGTACAGATGGACAAAGTGATGCCCAAGGAAGGGAGATTGACCTATGATGGGAGACTATACAATTCCAGCCCCTGGAACCAGATGACATCTGGGTCCTCCAAGGCTGAAGTTATGCGAGACTAAACTTATAAGCTCCTCCCATCCTCCTTAAGATGCGGGGTCGAGACACTCCTCCCACTTCTTCCTTCTTGGAACTCAGAATGGCCCATAATCACCCTTGTTGGATGAACTCTTGCTGTAGCAATGAACCACCAGCGCCGTGGCCAGGGCCCATATGCCCAGTCCGGCTCTGCTGGGGACCTCGTTCCAGCTGTCCTGTCCCGTGGGTGTTTCTTCGGGGCTAGGAAGGCGTCCCCACGTGGCGGCAGTCAGGCACTGGGTCTCCGTGCGTCCTCCCTGGTGCCGCCCGGTGGCTGCCCCTACTCCGGGGAGCAAGGCCGACGGTGTTCGAGGGCGCTCCCCGGCGGCCACGCTCCGCCACTGCGGCTCCCCATAGTCCCCAGTGGTTACACTCCGACTGGAGGCACCTCCATGGTCCTGGAGCGATGGGGAACTAAGCAGCCGGAGGAGGAGCCGCGGCGCCAGCGCCGTTCTCCTCAACACCAGGGAGCCCAGCATCGTGACAGCTGCTTCGTTAACCCCCCCGTGCCGGCCCCGGTGCTGGCCACGACTAACATGGCTGCCGCGGCGCGTTCGAAGACGCAGCGAACAGGGTGGGACCGCACACTACCTCACGGGAGTGGTAGTCCACAGTCCTAACTCGTTCCGCAGTAGAACGAGAAAACTACAGTTCCCAGAAGGCATCGTGATTGCGTCACAATGACCTGCGGCTTACGGGAGTTCGGGGCATGTTGGGAAATGGAGTTCGGATGGAGGAACGTGGCAAGAAGGAAAATGCTGGAATGAGGCGAGGCGATGAAAGATTTGACTCCCATGATGTAATTTCTGACCAGCGCAAGTTAAACTGGATATTCAGCAGATGCCTACTATGAAACATATCAGCCCATTTCTCATTTCAGCCTAAGATGACTTTTGAAAAAGATGTCTAAACAGGTGTGCTTAAGATAGGGTTGAAGGGTTGACTCTTGGGCTTGCTCTCCCATTTGTGTCATTTTCAAAAGGCGTTGACTAGGCTATCACATCAGAAATGTTGGGTGTCAGTCCACGAGGCCGGTAGGTGGGGTGTGAAAGATTTTATAGAAAAAGAAGAATTGAAGCAGAAGCAAAGTTTTATTCACTTGCCAAGGGAGGAAGAGTCTGATACTAAGGCCCAGGCAGAGTAAGGTTAGGGCTGGGTTTATAGCACTTAAGATGTAGGATCATACTGCTGACGTTTTGTATTTTGGTTCAGAAAGCTGTTCCAGGAAGCAGCTGGAGTGGTCATTTTCTCAATATTTTGCCAGAATGTTCGCTTGTTTAATCCTTTTTGTGACATCACATTGTGGGAATATGTTATCAAGATGCAATTAGGGTTCCACCTGAGTTCAGAAAAAGTTTCTGCAAGACAAAGTAAAACGGCCTTGCTGCCAAACAAGATGGAGTCTTTACAAAATGAAATAGGTTAGGGTAATTTGAGTCACAGTCACTGCATTTGCGAAGCTGGACAAGCGCCTTTTTTTTTAAGTATATAATAGTTGTATGGGGGGATACTTTATGACTTACATATATGCTTATGATGTATCTTAATTAGATTTACCTACCTCCTCCATCATTACTCGTCATCCCTCTTCCCCCCCCTTAGAACAATTTCAAGGGTTTCATTGTTCTATTTTCATATATAAATTCAAAATACATTCACAATATTCACCCTCATTCGCCCTTTCCTTATATTCTCCCCTCTTCTACTGATACCCACTCCCAAACAGGACCTGTTTTACCTTCCTGTCCTTCCTTTTTAAAAAAACATTTTGTTAGTATATGGTAGTTATACAGGTGGTTTCATTGTGACATTTCCATACATACATGTATTATAGCCAGAATTGGTTCATCACCCGCATTATTCTCCCTCCTACTCCATTCCCCTTCTAATGGTGATTTCAACAGGTTTCAATGTTCCTTGTTCATACTTGTGGAGAAAGTACACCACCATATTCACCTTGCTTTATTCTCTGGACAGGGGCTGTTAATCCTGGCAAAAGCAAAGAGAATTTAGGCTCAAAGTTGGAATGATTTGCCAGTGACTCACTGTACTGAAGCTCTTCTGACTGGAGCTCAGGCTCTCTGTGAGCACCTGCTCCCTTTTTTCCAGATGGAACCTACAGTAGGCAAAGAAGGAAGGTTTCCTCGGGGCCAGTCCTCATTCCTGCTCCTGCATGTCTTTTACGTCTCATACTTTCCATTATGGGACCTTCCCCACCCATTCCCAGCCTGCCCCCATCTTTCTTATGATGCTGAGGAAGGATAGATGAGACAGGGAAATGATATCAATCAATATTTAAAGGGCCAGACTCTGACATTGGAACAAGGAGAGCCAGAGCAGCTGGCCCACTCCCATCTCTTTTAGATGCTGACTTACAGAAACCAGGAGACAAAGAGGAGCTACCTAAGTCTGCTTTCCTCCTGGAAAGGTAAAAGGGTGGAGAATAATCATGTCTAGGAAAGGGAAGTTTTAAAGCATCCTGTTGTCTCTAATTTAGGTGTGACTTGGGAGGGTGACCTCTCCCTGTCAACCATCTCAGCCACCAAACCCGTATCTTTGACCATGTGTATTTCCCCAGCTCTCTGCTATAAAACTAAGAGTTGGAGACCACCATTTTGAGTCTTTGCTCCCATTTCCTGTGTGGGGAACAGGAAATGTTTTTCTCTCCTCTCACCCTTTGTCTGTACTTTATTATTTTATGCTACAATACATCCTTGCTAAAACTTTCACCTGGTGAGATTCCTTTTTATGAGACACACCTTGAAATGCATTTCAATGTTTGTGGATCAAGGACCTATAATTTTGCATGGAAACTAGGAAGCTTTGAGAGCCCCCAGAAGACTTCCAAATTCTTTGTATTCCACCAGAAAGAATCCATGGCAGGACATGTGGGTCTAAAAGGAGTTTATTAAAAATTAGGGAAGAGAAATACAAAGGGAAGCATGTTGGGGCCCAAGTAGAAGCCAAGATAGCATGTTTCTGCCTTTCGGGTGCTTTTAAAACCTATGATAACCTATAGGAAGGGGAGAAGGAGATTCCCAGTCAATAATCAATGACTGGGGAGGGATATGGGTGGTTCCTGAGCCGAAGGATGGTTAATCTAAGATGCATTCTTTTTCTATGAGCACTGAACTTTCCCTACTTTAGCCTGCCTAAAATTCCCCTGAGAGACAATATTCCAAAAAATTCTTTTTTGAGGGTTCCTGAAGGGGGGTGGTCCATCTTGAGTATCTGCTTCAAGCTGACAAGGGGCAGCAGACCCTACCTATAAGGGGAAATTGTCTCTCCTATTTTTTTCCCTTGGGATTCATTTGGACACAAGAAGTCTAGATTATTGTTCATTACAATTAAGGTTTTTCATGGAGATCTGGGTTGCTCGTGGAGATCTTGTTTGTTTGTAGAGATCAATCGCTTGTTCCCTTTTAATTTGGGTCCTAAAGGCTTTCGTTCTGGAAGAGATAAATGTGGTTTAGAAAGCATGATGTTGTTAACTATGTCAGAAGCATCAGAAGGATCCTGCCAGGTGTAGCAGGAAGGATAGAGAATCTAACTTTTCTAAAGGTGCTTATGTCTGTAGCTATTTTTAACTCTTAGATGGCCCTCTATTTTGGACTGTCACTATAGTGGGCAGTTTGGAGCTGACTACATCGGGGGCCAGATGTAGCAAGGAACAGGTGTTAGTACAATTAAAGAATAAACATCAATGAGTCAGTTTTTTTTTTTTTTAACAGGAAGATGACTCAGAAGTTAGACACCATTGAAAGTTATATTGCATTTGTTTAAACAGAAGGCCTTGGCCAAAAACATGAGTTTGCCTTTTGCCAGAAGCCTAGAAGGCCTAAATATTAGAGCACCTGTGTAAGAATCCTCATTTTAAAAAACGTCTCTCAGCTTTGGTTACTTTTAGAAGTCTGGCATAATGGACTCCATCTGGATCTGGAGAAGTCCCCTCACTTGTGACTTTTGAACTGTCTCGGGTGGCTGAATGCCACTTGTTCCCCTAAGAAGTTGGGGGACGCTGATGGCTTGGGAGTCACGTCCTCTTAAACTGTTTCTTTGAACAGTTGTCTGTGAAGATTTTGCCAGTTTGGCAGTTCTGTTCCTTGGTGCAAGAGTGGCTTCTCCTGGCAAGTCCAGAAAGTCAGATTTTGTCCCATGGATGAGGTGAGTTGAACAGGTCAGAAGTCAGTACCAATGCAACTTTTCTGGCCAAATTAAACAACAAAGAGATTTATTTTTAAAAAAATGGCTCAGGCTGGGCTTAATTAAATCTAATTGTCTGTCCCATAGAGGTTGTACCAATATCTTTAAATTGCTGTAAAGTGTCAGCAGACAACAATTATAAAGTTTTGCAAGGAAAGTACAAAATGACCCCAATTAGAATGTCCTGGTTGACAAACACTTATCAGAGTTATTTTCCATGGGTTTGTCTGTAAATGTCACAAGAGGATTAGAACTGTAATGACTAAACTTAAAGTAACTGTGGTTAGTAGTTTAGCAATTAATATAATAGTATAGTACTACTAAACCTCTCTTATTACAATTGGGAACATACAAACTTGAAAAAGAAGCTAAGACACCAACTTGATAGTGTCTTTTTATAACTATTTTAGAAGGCTTATGACCTTTCTCTTTGAAGAAGACAAAGACACCTAACATATAAAGGAGCCAGTAGCAGCATCACAGTTTAAACCTTGAATTTTGGTTAGGTAAAGTAACAAGCTAGTGTAAACCCTAAATTTTCCAATTGTAAGGGAAGGCAGTGTCAGTAATTTCAAATAGCTCCTGTTTTGATGCTCGATTGCATATTATATATATAAAACAATGTTTATCTAGCCAATGTCTGACAAACATTGGTTTGTTTATCTGAGAGACAAATGTCAGTCCTAAATAGCAGAACTTTTAGCATTTGTCATAAAGAGCAGAAATGTCATAGACCTTGTAAGATAGAAGGTACCTTAGATGAAAGAACTATGGCTGTTTACATGTATATACTTTTAACTCTAAAATGATTTTATGACATTTAGATACACATATAAGGCACTATGAGTACTAGAAACATTTAAAAGAATTTTTACTTAGTTTAAATTTAGTTTCCTCAGTGTTCTCAGAAAAATATCTTGGATTTTTATGTCTGGCAACAGACTAATTTAAGCGGGATGTAAAGAACAGTAAATAATCTAAATGGGTTATGGAGAGAACTAGTCATCTTATTTTAGGTTAGCAGGATCAAAGCATCTCACAGTACTTAAGGATTCAGCCAAGTGAATATGTTGGTTTTCCCTATGCTAGCTGGTGGAAAGGGAGAGAGGGAAAGGGGAGGGGAAGAATCCATTCACCCCTCCACCTCTGCATGAGGGTGTCTGAATGGATTTCCCTATGCTGGCTGGTGGAGAGTGAGAGAGAGGAAAAGGAAAGGAGGAAAGTTGCCCTTTGGTAGAGTGCAAGATCAATTCCAAGATCTTTGGGGCATCCCCCTTATATCTTGAAAGTCTGGATTGCAGGTCCTCTAGACCAGCCTTGCCTAAAAGGCTCTCAGCAGGCATCTCTGTGAAA